GAAGGATCGCAGCTACCCGCGACACCAACGACTTTCCTTTGTATTAGTTATCATGTAGGATTTCTTTGGTATATCAGCAGGTATGCCCCCTTATATTTTACATTCTTTACGCAATCTGGTAATCTCCTTCGGACACTTGTACCTAGGAATTACACTCGGTTCTACTTCGCGTCCTCCTGAACCTCTGAACCCTGACCCTGAACCCCTCACCTCCTGAATATCGTACAACTCGCTTCAGGGGTACGCCTGCCCCTAGACCTCGCCTCCGAACTCTCACGTGTCCCTGTTGTAGTGTGCCTTGGGCTACCCGACCCTCAGACCCTGCCCGTTACAATAGTCGGCATCTATTACTCCAGCATTGGTAGTGAGTCGGTGTTTGACTGCGAGACCGCTGCGTGGTGCTATACGCCCATAGGTGCCTTGAGGTAGCTCTATGGCTGTTCCGGTGGGAATGACTACCGGCCCTTTGACCAGTATCGTACCTTCTTCATTGGCGTACAGGTCGTGTCCTGCTGCCCTCACAGACCCTTTAGTCGGTATCTTGGCCTCATAGCTGAGTTTCTGCACTTTGATCCTCTGATCCTTTCTTGGTTGTACTTGGCTGAACTTCACATCCAAGTTCGTTTCGTTCGCCTCCTCTTCTGGAGTTGCATATATTGTTGGCGACCTGTTGAGACACCATGTCGTGCATCGTTCGCTGTTAAGTGTAACTTTTCTTTCTTCCCAGTTCAAGGTGGGATTATGTTGTCTTAACCATTGCATTCCAAGGATTATCTCATGGTGTTGCAGATTTGCCACTTGGAAGGTGGCTACTTCCTTATGGGTTGCGATTTCCATAAGTACTTGCATGGTATGGGTTATAGGTCCCATTGCGCTGGGTTTTCCGTCCGCCAGGTAAATCTGTCTTTCCTTTTATGTTTTCTTGGTTCTTAGCTGATATTTGTCGCAGACATCCTTATCGATGAGGTCTTCTGTGGCTCCTGAATCGAGCATTGCGTAAATCGTGGTTGCTTGTTTTTTGTCGTTATGTATTTTTGTTTCCAACATGATATGATCATTGTCGTTGTCTCTTGTGTTTGCGCTTAAAAGAGTGTAATAGGTGGCCATTGAGATGGGTTTGTCTTTCGGCTGGTCCCGCAGACCATGTATTGCTGGGGACCTTTGTCTTTTGCGACCGTCTTGTATTCGTCTTCGATTTCAATTTCCCTCAGGTTGCTGCGTGGTTGAAACCTAGAATTTGGTTTCGTGTTTTGCTGACTTCTTCCTTGAGTTGGAGCTGGGGTGGCAGGTCATCTGCAGTCTTTAATCATGTGCCCTGCTATTCCACATCTTAGGCACACATTGTTGTTTCGTCGTCGAAGGTACTCATCCTTTGCGAGGTTGAGTGATGGTTTTTTTCTAGTGGCGTCTAGGTCCATTGCATCTCCTCCTTGACAGGTCCTTCGATAGGTTCCATCTTGGTTCCTAGGCATGCCTTGGTTTCTTGTGTTCGTGGTTGACTGGTTCCTTTGGATCCACTCCAATTGTCCGAACTGGATTTCCTTTCGAATGGTCCAATGGGCCATCGCTTCAGTTGTAGTAAATCTTTCTTCGCTGTATCTGCAGGCGTCTTGATAGGTTTTTCTCAAGCCTTTCATGAACCACCACATGGCTGAGGCCTTGTCGCAATCCACGTCATATTGAAGTAGTCGGAACTCATGCCAGTAGTCGGTGACATTCTTAGTTCCTTGTCTAATTTCTTCCAGTTTGTTTCTTGCTGATTGGCTCAATTCTATGTCCGTGAATTGGGCTTCGAATACTGTCTTGAAGCTGGCCCAGTCCGTCCATGGTGCCGTGTTGCTGGCCACTATGCGGGTTATCCATGTAAGGGCGGTTCCTTCGAATAGGGTAAGAGTATATCGTATTTTGTCTTGGTCATTTCCTTGTGACGATCCAACTGCGTGCAAGTAGGTCAAGAGTTGGACCATAAATCCTCGTAATTTGCCTCTTTCGCCATCGTATCGTGGTGGCGTTTTGACTGTAGGCCGTTGGCCGGATCCTCCGATGGCTTCTCGTATCAATTGTTCCACTTTATCACATAGAATCATCGGAGGGAGTCCTGGCCCTGCTGGAGGGGGTGCTAGTCATGACATTCTTTCAGGTCTCAGTGTTTCTGCTACTTCTTCCTCGTCCAGGAAGGTAACTCTTTCAGGTGTGACTGGACTTGTGGTTCTGGCTGAGTGTTGACTTTCTCCGGTTAGTCCTTGTTCGAGTTTTTCCAATCCAAATGCGTCGTCTTGGACGTCTATGTTTCCCTTGTGATCTCTGTTGAATGGATCCGTCTTGTGATCGTTAAGTGTCGCGTTGTAGACACCTTTTAATGTGAATAATCCTACCAAGTAGGTTAGAGTTGCAACAGGTAATGATTCTTACTTCTTTTGAGATAATAGTTCTTAGGCCTATGCCTACGCGATGTCGATAGTCGAGTCCTTCAACTCCTATCTGATCGCGCCTATTTCTCGATACTTCTAAGTCCTTCCTTGAGACTTAGTGGTCGTCTTGGGGTGAGGATTCATTTTCCCATATGGGAGGAAAGGCAATTCTTGTGTTTCTTAAGATAAATCTTAAAGAGCGTAAAGGTAGGTTTTATTAATAAACTTTAAAGGTAGGAAAATAAACGACAAGAACGTGTGAAGAGCTAATACTAGGAGTCCTAGCGACCCTTTATATAGTAGCTCTTCACTTAGCGTGACTCATACTTTTGTGTCATGCAAACCTGGTGACTCATAATTATGAGTCACTCGACATCCATGCACCGACTCAGATGAGTTGCTGCGCAACGTGCTTAAAACCAATCAAAACATAATAACCAATTCAGGTGCGCAACTCGCGTCACCTGAGTGAAACCCAGGACTCATAAGTTGAGTCATGTGCGAAAATCATAACATCGTGTGACTCACAACTGTGAGTCACGAACAGGTAAACATAATAACCTATGGCGCACTAGTGTGCGTCATCTAAACTCCCAACATACCTATAGCTCCGGATTCCGAGCTATGTAAAATCTGCCTTGCTTAGTCACAGTTTGTGACAACAGGAGAAGTAGTCACTCTTGTCTACAAGATACGGAGAGTCACAGAAGCGGAATTGATTACAAGAGGGCTCTCTCAGGTAGACGGACAAAGGGAATTCTGCCTGGCAGGAATCGTCTGAATATGAGGTGATCAGGTTGTTAAACTACCTATGATATAATGGATCTTATTTGAGAGATACTCACTCGACTTGGTGGACAGGTAGGTGCTATTAAGGTAAATTTCTGTGGAGAATAAATTTATCATTAAGTAGGGCAGGATGTGCCAAGGATCAAGAAGTAAAGAACCTGTTTGATAAGTAATTAAGAAGTTGCAATTATTCCATTGTGAAATGATTTGACTGGTTGAGAAAGTTGTTGCTAAGGGTCAACCATTGAAATAGAAACTTTCATAGCAGTTGGGCTAAACATCCTTTTATTAATAACCTTTTGGAAAGGAAAGGAAATGGTCACTTGTGTGAGTGGCCCATACTGCACCATCTCAAGCAAACAGGGCCAAAAAGATTTCATATAGAATGGCAATGGGGGATGAGGGGTGATTGCCTGTTGATGAGATTCTACCGTTGAGTACAACATTATATTATTCTTGTTTGCCGGCCCACCCTCAATATGTTAAGGGTGGGGAAAAGAAAGTTCATGGGCATTCAAGCATTTTAGAGTTGCGTCACAGGCCATTCTGGGGGAGGTCTCTCAAGGGTAGTAGAATGTAGTTCTCATGCCTGGAGATCTATCTCTAAGGCCAAAATAGGCAGAAGGGAGAAGATACTATGAGTTTTTAACGTGGCAAGTGTACCCACAGGTATAGTGAACATTTCGACCCCAAGGTTGATTCCTCAATAGATGATGGGGGTTTTATACTAGTTATTATGTCATGATGGATGAGTTGGGCCAACCATAACCCAGAGTACCGGCTATCATTGTTTATGGTAGACATGTTTAAATGATTATAAAAAGAGTTTTTTTGTTCCCTCTTCATGTAAAAGGGGGATGCGACTATGCATATGTGTGGTGGCGCTCCCTCCAGGTAGGACTGTGCCGAGTGAGGGGTGTAATCCCATTGGGTGTCCATTGGAGAAGTAACTACAGCTCCTAGTTTAAGAATAGGATAGGGAGAAGGGTTGTGACTGTTCTTTTATCTTGTGTCTTTTTGTTTGTATCTTAGAAGTATATCCAACCTGTACCTAGTCTGTGGTGAGCTCGTTGGAAGCAAGTACAACAGTTCTGTTCTTTCTTACCACACTACAAGCTTTCCCTTGTTGTGCTCCACTGCGTTTCCGCCGCCCGTTTCGATTTGCCCACTACCTACAATTGCTATCATACAAGTTGCAGAAAAAGTCTTTCACTTGTGACCAGCGATTCGAAGTTGTACTTACAGGATAGGGGGGTTCAAGATTTTAACTGGTCAGAAATGGTGCAGGGAGAGGAGGTAGGGAATTCGGAGTGCAAGGCTCGTACGTAATGTCCTGTAATAATTTTAGATCCATGGTAGGCTACAGTAGTATAGTAAACAGTGTGCTTGATAGGGTATTGGGTAAACACAAAGTAGGAATTCAGCTACAGACACTACTGGCAATTAAGACCCAGTGAGGGTTGGAGTGGTCAAAGTGCAATAGTAGGCCATCCGTGAGCAAGAGGACCCTAATTAGTCTAAATTACATGAAATTGACGCGTAAAGATATCCTGAGAATATGGCGCCTGCAGATACAACGTGGTTTTACCTCTGTCAGGTAATTATAGAACTGTCTCTTGATCTCCGTAAAAGAATAATGGTGATGTCTTGATTATGGTTGATCAAGCAACCTGTAATTGAGCTATTGCTTGATCATTCAATCTTGCACTCCTCTCGAGGAGCTCGTAGTAGAGCAGAACTCGTATGATCTGCTTGATCATGCTCATGTCCAGGACTACTCTGAGTCAGTAAAATCTGTCACTAAACAAAGGGGTAAAGTGATGGAGAAGCCTTTACGTTAAGTAATTGCAGGAACCGGTTCTGAGGCCATGCTAAAGCACAGGTGACAGGTGAAAACCTGCCAGGGCGGTCTTTCTCACGGCGAATTGAGGGAGCATGGTGTGGGAGTTGGATGATTGAAGAGGCGGATGACCCGAAAACTATGGAGACAAAGGAGTACCTGATGGGTCTCTTGCCGGCCAAGAGGGCTGACTGCATTGGCATCTCGCCCACCTCAGATGAGAGGAAATACCTGGTCAAGTTAGTGGCAGAACTGTCACTTCGGTGACACCTCTGATGCTTTGATATCACCTACCATGACCCAAATACTAGAGGGGAGTTAGCTTGGGACCCACTCTACTATATGAAATAAAAGAGTAAACTTGAAAGTTTACCACTAGAAACACTGACGTGGATACCCCCATCAGCCACCCCCAAAATCCAACACCCACCAAGCATAATCAGCCATGGAACATGGTTGCGTACTTGGATGCTCACAGGCTAGATTTCAGTGATCCGGTAAAAGGGACGGCGAGGGACTACCGGGGAACAGATCATACCACAAACAACCTCAGAAATGGTTGAAACCTTGTGGCTGACAGGGTCATTTTATTAATAGGATTTCAGGAGGTAGGACGGCAGTCTTGGGTAGTCGCCCAGTCCTACCAGTCCGAGCGTAGTCCGTCCTAGCACTGCAAAAATGACGGACTACCGGCTATAGTTCGTCCCGCCCTCTCCCAAAGACGGACGGACTGGACGGTTGAGAACACTGGGTTCACAAGGTCGGATATCCCGGCAATCGTTCCAACCTATAAATTGATTAGAAACTAGTTACTCAAAAGTAAATACAATTTATACCTTCACTTGTCGATTGAATGCAAAACTGCTTGCTCTCTTAACTGATCCAGCAATCTCAGCTTCTAAAATGTTCTTTGTCTTCGCGGCCAGCCCCCGGATATCGACATCGTAATCCATCAGCTGATTTTCATTCGCCCTATTTGTGTGGATCTTCGGGATTTGTTTTCGGCCAAACTTGTCGGGGGGAAATCTCAACGTGTACTTCGAGACGGTCCGGGCGCCGAAGAGCTTCACCGATCATATCCATACGATTGATCATTACAATAATCAATGTACCTTTCAATTGACCAACACCATCTAGCTAAGATACCACTCTTGTCAGCAAAACACGGCGGACAAAAGTGACTTCGAATATACCTCCAGGAGCAGGTGATTCACGACGCAACCTCCCCCTAGCCTCCTCGTTCCTACCCCCCCTCGGTCAGCAGATAGCACCCAGACCGCCAAATATGCTGGTATTAACCCACTCTCTTCTGCCTTTCCCTTGTACTGCTTTTTCGCATCCGCAAACAACTTTCTGATGTTCCCCTCCGATCATCCGATAAACCCATTCAAGATTTCCGGATCATTAAGATCCTTAGGCTCCTTCGCTTTCAGCATCTTATCAATCTGCCTAGCCGTCGGGGTTTTGCCGGTCCCCGGAGGTCCAGGGAGTGGGGTTCCCTTCCGGTTTTGGGTTCCGGGTTCTCCACAAGGCTAGGCTGAAAAATACGACATCCAAAGGCTTGATGGAAAATCCCGCGGAACTCCCTGTCAAGACCTCCAATAGCCATATCTTGGAAGTTTGGCTGTATGATATCTTTAGCTGCTGCTTGCTTCCTGGAGCCTTTGGTCTTGCCTGGCCGATTCGTAGCTTTGTAAAATGTGATGCTGGTGTTAGGGGTAAGGGTGCGGTAGTCTGAAGGATTAGAGGTTATTGTAGCATAGGTAGGCAAAGAGGAATTTTTGTCGTGGTGCTTGAATATCGGCACAGTTTTGACCACAATCAAAACTTTGACATTTCGTCTATCCAATTTTCGCTCGCGGCGGTGGAGCAAAGATTTGATTTTGAAACCTCCAGTGGAAAATAGGTAAGCTTCGCGAAATTATCCGAAAGCTCGACGATGAGAAGGGCAAGAGGTGACTGGAGGAAGGAGGAAGCAAACGCGGAAAATGGAACAGTCAATACCATAACAAACAATTGCGCAGGGTCATCCTGGTCATACCTCCCATCGCTTGTTTTCTTGGTTGGGAAACCGGTTTCCAAATCCAAACTCCCTAAGTAACCAGCTCTGCCGTGAGCGAAAGGATCGAAATGTGCAATATTGGCACTTCCACACAGGGCCCACTGAGCCCATTCCCTATCAGCAGAATCGAATCTACCGTGTCTGGTATCCTCTATGGCATTAGCGGGGCAGACTGAGGATCTATCGGTAATCACAGATAGCACATCACTCAACTGGAAAATCCTGTAGAGAAATGGCAACGCTATTAAGCCTGTGAAGTACTTTTGATTAGCTTTGGACGCTCTAGGCTTTATGCCATATGAGAGGCGATTTTCTTACCAATTCGTACAAATAAACTTTTGATTAGGACTCTTCGGAAGCTTAAACACCCGCGGTGGATACGCCGCCCTGCTAGTGTAATATCGACCGCGGTCAGACACGGTGAACGTTCTCGGTAGTTGTGGACTGCGAACACCAGGCGATTCTGGCTTGTCAAGAGCCGGGGGATATATGCGGATGGGGGGGGATACAGAGGGGGGGGGGGGGCAGAGGGGGGCGGAGAGAACATCTTTATTGTGCACCATCGGAGAGAATGTCGAAGAAGATCAGTGACGGCAGCAATGGAAAAGAAGACCAGAGGACTGGCAATGGAAGCGAGATGATGAAGTGCAGTAAAAAAGAAGAAGTGGTGGGAAACACGGGTGAAGAAAGGAAGAGAAGGTGGTAGGTGAAGTGGTGGAAACATCACCGAGTATGTTAAGACCCCCGGAAGAGTTGTTCTTGGTTTTCTGTACTTAAGGGCTCCAATGACCCACCTTAGTTGAAGTAGCAAGTCGCCAGTTCCTTTATCTTTTAAGTCAAAGTCTTCATTTCTATCCTGTTCTCTTCTAGAGCAAGTTCTCGCAGACACGATCAGATTCCTTGGCAGCTTCGTCATATTAGAGTTGGGGCCCTTTTACCTCTCGATGCCCGTCTCGTGCACATTGATGGTACAAACAGTCAAGGGTGTCTCAACGGTATTGTTATGAGATGCCGGCTGAGAAGACTAGAAGGGAATGAGGGAAGAAATAAAGATTTCAAGTTGGTAGTTTTAGATACGAGTATCTTGTATCTTTTGTTGCTTATCCATTATCTAAGGAACAAGAAACGGACTTTATATAGACAAATCAAGAGCACTCCCGACGTAGTGTTCCGGCCACCACAAGAAACAAACAATCACAAACACACCACGCTTGTCGGGGAATCCCTCTGGTGGGTCCCATACAATTCCGGAGTTCTAGTACCTTCGCTTAATGAGGAATTCATGACTCAGGCTTATACAGAAGGATGGACTGGCAAAAGGAGTGACCAATAGTAAATAGCTAGGGAGAGGTATTTATCCATTGACCGAGATCCAAGGACACAGAATGATCACTGGTGATATTCAACAAACGTTCGGTAGAGTGAGGACTTAATTCTCACCCCGTGTTTACCTAACGCGCCACCAAGCGCAGCATCTACGACCATCCTACAATGAATCAAAATTTAACATGACACGATGCGAGAGCCTTGAACGCCTATTACCAACTCCCTCTCACCTTCCACCACCTGTCGCCAGTTGAAGATTAAACCTAGCTACCACCTAGGCACAACCTACTCATGCCTCCCCACCAAGAGTTGGCACCTGTTTTAGAATAGCTGCCACTGACCTTTAAGTAGTATACCCTTCAATTCACCATGCCCCCCAGCCTAGTATCCCAATAATCAATGGACTGTAAATATAGAAACTAAAGTAGTAATCATTTACACAAACAGAATCAGGCGTTGAATCTATTATCTACTCTAAATGCCCGAACTTGTAGCAAATTTGTGTTGAATGAACTTTGATGTGTGTATTTGACGTACTACTGCTGCATCATTGGGAAAGATCCCTCCACAGCAGATCACTGAACATATTGCCACCAAGTAGTCACACCATACTACATTTGGGCTTACGCTCACTATGCCGAAACAGGTGCCAACTCTTGGCAAGGAGGCACGAGTACAATGGCGCCTCACAAGGGAAACACCTCTTCTACTGGTTCTGCTTTAGTTCCTTCGACCCAACAGCCTAGACCCAGTAAATCACCACCTAAACAAAAAACGACTGAGAAGGAGTTAATATATTTGTTATCCTGGATGGTGCCCGACATTAGTGAAAGCAAAGCAGACCCTATTCCCAGCAGTGGCATAACGATTGCGGGAATGGCAGGCCCCAGGCATAGCGGCAATGAATAATGTTTGGAGTTGACGGTGGTCCTACTGCACCTGGGGAGTTATATCTACTTTTGACCGACTAACGCTCCAAGTTCTCAACACTTGAAAATACAGTAACCGCAGTTGGCAATATGTATTGCCAACCCTGGATTGACAACACCGTCAAATCTCAGAATACAAATTTCAGAAAAGACTGTTGTAATTTGTATCTTATACCCTGTGTTTTCTATGCAGTAGAAGCTTCTTGTTCTAGCCGATATCGGTATTTCCTATTCTGTATTCTGTAATTTTACTTTTTTTTGCCGCTTACTCTTCCTACTCTAACGTCGCGTACCGCGAAATGACAACATACCGGCATCTGACACAATTTCAGATCACGCAATTCCCAACAATTTGAAAGCGTATCAACCCTCCTATGAGGTGAATATTGAACAATTGGACAAGCGAATACATTGACAGAATATGGAAGAAAGGAAGCAAGAACTTGCATAAACGAAAATAGTAGCACTGTAAAGAAAAAAAGTAGGAAAGGTGATAAATTGGTACGCAGAATAGGGGTGTTTGGAGGATAGATAAAAGGGCTCCTTAATGGATAGGAGATTTGTGAGTCCAGAGTGTCATGTGCGTGGAAGATGTGGAAGGGGACTCTGGTGATAGGAAGGTTGTCGAAAGATGAGTACAAGGCTGTGTGGAGGCTACAACGATAACGGAAGCCCAATCCGAATCACTGTGGTCTTCAGGCTTGCGCTCATCCGTCGACATCTCTTCAGAATCAATTAGGAGAAGATATAGAGTGGCTACAATAGTGATAATATTGGTATGAGGAGTTGTAGGGTTGGGAGTAAGAACTCTTGCGCTATGTGGAGACAAGGGGGACCAAGGTGGTGGGGCCTTGAAGGTGGGTTGTAGGACTCAAATAGGGGTTCTTTTAAAGCCACCTCGAGAAGTGTATGTAGGTTTTTTTTTTTGTCTTTCTTAAGACGGGCATCGCAAAGTGCCATTAATGCCCCACCATCTGGTACTCGTGCCTTGCTAAGCTTTCTTTGGTCAGTAGGATTATATAACTTGTCAGTACTCTGAAGCTGAGGTGTAAGTTTCCTCCAAAGCTCCGTGAATGCAATTTCCACTTCCACCTGATGGCCAAGGGAGCGCATCATCACCTTCACATGTTCGATACTGGTAGAAGAATCAGGGCCATCAAGTTAGAGACCCGTCAGGAATTCTCCGGCTGCTCGAACTTCATGTCGTATTTCCCAGCTGCCGGCTGCCTGCTTGACAATACCGAATGAATCCTGCGGTTCAGAGGTAGAAGGAATTAGTTTTCCTAGGACATGGCATGGGTTTAGTAGAGTGATACTGGTACTGGTAAAGAATTGCTGGATATTATGTGTTGTAAAGGTTGCCTATCGCGCTTCGGTTAGGAAGGGAATGAAAATAGACTTCTTCATTCCTGTGATGTTTTGGCCAGAGCAAATATACTTATCAACTGCAACCCAGGAGAAATGCTGGTAAGGGCCAAATAGGCCAACATCTAGAGGTTGGAGCAGACGGGTCGAGTAGGAGAGGAGGCAAAAAACTAAAACATTATTTCTACAACATAAGGAGAGAAATTCAAAGGTAATGTGGGATCCATGCCTATTCAAAATAAGGAGCCAGGGAAGATCAGGGTATAGTGCAAATGGAGTCAAACCAGGTCCTCTAAATAGGCTAAATGCAATTCCAAACTAGTCAACCACAACAAGGAATTTTGTAAAAGAAAAACCGCTACGATGAAGCTACTCCACTGGAGAACAAGGTAGCAGTTTTTGTTTTTTAAATAAAGGCTGTAGGAAAAAGTAGTTAAAGATTAAAAAGTAAAAATTTTGGTGAGAGCGGAACAAGTGTAACGACCCCAGGTTATAGAGCTATGGCAACCTAAGTCTACGCCCATACATAAGGCCAAGAGGCTATATGGTAGACTAGGCGGGCATGCCTGAGCATGTCCGAGAGATATTTGATGGTCCGGGTATCTCGAAGAACAGAAGGTACTTATGGAATAGGTGTACCTGAGTAGTGAAAGTACCGTGACTATGTCTGCTTCGGCCTAAGGATAGGCCGGAAGGCCGGGTGAGTTTACCCTGTCTAGGTAAGTCACGTTACCCTGCCATGGAGACCGGTCTCATGTCACCATGGACATACTTACCCTACCTTTGGGACACTATTACCCTACCTTCCGTCGGAAACGTTCTCGGAAAGATTCCGTGTAATGTTAGGATTGTTTGTTACGTAATGACGATCGACGGGCACTTGCTTGCACATTGATCGGAAGACTACGGGAGGAGCTAGAGTGCTCCGAACATGCTGTAACTTGGCAGGATTATTCCTAACAGGTACCTGCGGCCCCAGGGTTCGCCCCGGGCGTCATGGGCCAAAATGGGTGAAGTTGCCGTCTTACTAGTTAAATGGAATCACTGAAGACATGTCCATAACACTGTATACGTCGCTGCCGTCCGTCCGACCGGAAGCTGTTCGCAGGATATATAAGGGGGCAAGGTGAGAAGGTCAGGTACCTTCTCCAAAAGGAACGGAGTAAAACGGACCATAACTGACGGAGTTAGCGTGAGCTATCCGGAAGGGTCCCTCGAGCAGTCCCAGGTAGTGCCGGAGACATCGAGGAAGGTTTTACGCCAATCAAGCCTACACGTGCCCCTTTGCCGTAGGCTCTTTATGGGTTGTTGGAAGACTCTAATAGCATGATACTTATCACGCTGAGTGGTGTGCCGGAGGTAAGGGACCATGGGTAGCGCCCACGGGTCCCGCCACCGACACAGCTCTACGTGGGAGCGTCGTAGACCCCGTAAGTTCGCAATCAAGAAAGATAGAACTTAACCGGAGGACACCTGATGTCTACGGGTGCTTGCATAGATCATAGCACATGGGAAGAGAGTCATTTAGTTAGGCTTCATAGGAGTCTCGACAGTTAGCCACTGGCGAGACACCGATGCGCAGAGTTTTT